GAATTTACGGAAAATTAATTAACAAACGGAGACGTAACAGTGTTTATTGTTTTCAGTTGTTCTATTGTTTATAAAAAAATCGGTATCTGAAATTTATGTTATTTAATTCCGGATTTCTTAGATGTTGATTGGAACTTTTGATCTTGGACATCATGACGAAGAAGATAAAAAAAAAACAGGAATACAATGAGGAACTTTAACTTCCGTTGGGGGGATTGTGTCTTAACACCTATTTGTAATGATTCGCGATTGGTCACATCAGAAAAAAATTCGCAGGCGGGTAAATTAAACCAATGCCTGTGCAGGTAAGTCGTAAGCAGAAGTTGACGTACTCCGAAGTTTGAATCGTTGCTTCACCCACACTGGACGGCAGCCGTATCGCTCGCTACCTATGGTTTGCGCCGACTAATTACTCTCCGTAAGACCCTGAGATTTCAATTCCGAAGAAAACCACTTTGCTCCGTATACTGAAGAGTCTCTAGGGTAATGACACGTGCAGATGTCCCCACCTTTGTTACGCTTCTTACCGGTGGTTATTATCTCTTTTCATGCTGACAACAAATTAGGCCTAAGCAACACAAATCTCCTCGAAACCAACGTGTACGGAGAGTGTATCTGTGCAGACTGTAGTGAAGACTGAGTGGAGTGATTTTGTATTACGTTGAGGTAAAGAGCGCAGATTTTACAGCCACCTAGGAAAACCTGCTGCGACACGTAGTACCTTTATGTGTAGGCCCTTTTTTTTCTCTCCAAATCTCTATAAGATTGACGTGTTCTACGAAAAACCCGCCTACGATTCGTGCACGAGATCATTCCGTAGAAAATACCGTTTTCGTAACGTCTTCTATCCATTTTACTTACTGAATCTTGTTGTTTCTCAACATAATACAATACCAAAAAGTGATATGCCATATAAAGACATTGAAAAGTGACTGTGTTTTCCAATCAGGTATTTTACAGGTTATCGTATTTATTTAGGTGACCTTACAATGGGGAGTTAATGTAACCGATTTTGGCAAGAAACAGGATGACCTGTCTTTATCAACATCTGTTCAACATAAGTCACAGGTCGAAATTGACAACCTGTTAATAGTGGAGATTGACTAGTATAAATCTGAATATTTTTGCATCAGATTTCTTTCTTTATTCTTTAACAAGACCTGGCCTTGGATGTGATAATTAACTTTCAAGTTCTTGCGAACGGACGCACTTTTAGCCATTGTTGTTAGCGGACATTGTCGAATTTAGCGAGCTTTCACTAAGTTCCTTGAGAGTGAATGATATCTATTGTTGCATCACTTAATGATGCTTTAAGAATGTTATTACCGCTGAGAAATGTGTTATTTGTGAACGAATATTAAATCAACATAATTTATACTGACAGCGCTCGTATATAGATTAAGCGGACGTGGGAACCATTCCGTTTTTATCCTCCGAACACCAGCCGTTGCTTAAAGTCGACTAGGAACCGTCTTCCAAGCAGCAGCTACCGCCGTAAACTCTGTGTCTGCGCCTAGAAGTGGGCTCACCTGGATGGATTAGTAATATGCGATTCTACACGAGAGTTTCCCTGTGCCTACTCGTTGTGACGGCAGTCTTCGTGGCGCACGTGGCCGCTATCCAGTGGCTGTAAGTATTCAGTGACTTGTGTCACGTAGGGGAGAGCTGGTATTTGTTGTCTGCTTGGGGAATTTGCCGCGATAAATTGGGGCAATGATACATAGCAAAAACTAAGGTGTTTAAGACCGTTTGTCATTTGTACGGTGAGTGAAAATCGATCTAAGTAATTTTTGATATTATTTGGAATTTCTATTATTAATAATAGAGATATAGAAAATAATAATACTAATAAAAGACAAACAAAAAAACTGAACGTATACGTAGCCCTGAAGCTTCTAACTAGTAGATGACATATAATTATAGCTTACAGACTGTGTCTAGAATATGCTGAGCGTTGGTTCCGTCTGTATCAAGTCATGTGCTAGACATAAATAGCTATTGTTTAATTACTGTTTATGGTAATATAAGTAATACGTTCATAACGTAGTAGTTCGCTGATTTTCTTAAACTGTAGAACTAAAAGTTATATCTGTCTCAATATATAAGTGCTTTCTTTCTGTAAGCGTTTGTTTCGAAATATTTAAGGACACCTGGATTTGATATTACCTTGAAAGCTTAGAAGTTGTGAGAAACTCTAGGTGGCGTTGTTGTATGCTATGTAAGTTCAGAAATAAAAATAAAAAATCGACGTTCTCACGTGCGACGTGCACTGACCGGGACCATTAGCTTGTGCATATAAATTGGGAAAACAGAACAAGCGAGTTAAAAAATAAATAAAGTATATATCTATATATATAAATAAAGGGAAGGAAGGAAATAAAAATGGCTGATTCACGTTTATTTTGTTTTAGTTTACTTAGCGTACGTGATGTAGGCAAAGGATACCAGGGTCTTTGGGTTACGAATTCAATTTTCTTTGGCGAAGTATCCGAAATGTGATTCATGATACGTAGTCATTTTGTTATCCTAAAACTATCAAGATCGTGGAAACCTTTATCACAGAACTAGTTTTCTCCTCAGTACATAAACGAAGCAATGTAAGAAGGTTTATCCTACTTCCTGATTTAACACCGCAATTATAAGAAACTGAGAAATGGACACTTCACGTGTATTTACTTTGTCTTATGACTTGTACTAGTACACAATTAATGAAACTATGTAAGACAAATTACATCCAATGTCTCTGTTTGCTCCTAAATCGAGCATACGGGAATTTTCGTCACGTGTTTTTTCACGTGATACATGTTTTCCTTTTTATTCACATTGATGAAAAAAAAAAAGAAAAAAAAACATCATCAGATGGAGGGTCTCTTCACGTTTTCGTTTTAGTTTCATCCCTGATTTGTCACATAGTTTCCGGTTTCCTAACAGGAAAGTGATCTGGTTTCCTCTTTGGTTTTAGGCTCTGTGTGTGTGTTTAAACGACAGCGCTGTGAAAACTGGGATCTTGCTTCGTGAACTATATCTGGAGCATGGTAACAGGTGTTTAAAAGTACCTGTTCGAACGTACCTACTTACGTATATGACGGTATCAAAACGTTAAGCGATTTCATTGGTTAATCAAAGTTCAATCAGTTTACACTTTTCACGAACACTAGTAGGTTTTTAGAACGGGATCCTGTGATAATACTTCTACCTGTGTGCAAAGTTATGGTGTGAATTACTCATAAAATTAAAACTTACCGAATTTTATTTGCGAAAGGAATTTGTATTGACCAAAGGTAACATATAACTCATACGTTTTCTATCTCGTGACATATAAGTGTATGGGGTCAGCGTTTCAAATATTCATCAGATCAAACTTCAGAGTACACATAATTTTAAGAGAGGTTAGGATTTTTTTTTGTGTTTTAGTCTTTTTAAAACCGGATAAACGAATTCGATATCTAATTAGATTTTAACCATACCAATGTGTACTTATTTGCGGGGAAATGTTAACGCAAAACGATCTTTTTTTTTTTCTTACTTTAGAGTAGATCACACTAAAGTATTTTGGGCAGAGCGGTCTAGGCAGACTGGTTAATCTAGTGACAAATTAATCCTGATCATGTGTGACTTACATTTATTCACGCCACAAAATACAATTTTTACCACACCAAAATATACCAATAAATAGGCAGATTCGACCGAAGTTATAACATCTTCTTTTACTTCTTTTAATTTCCAAGGTAATTTATTTGTTTGGGCTTTCCCGCGTATAAAATCCCATTTTGGATATATTGCACGCTCGTAAATTCACATTATATGCAGAACGGATTATTTCATGGATGTATTGTGAAACATTTATTATAATTTTGGATGTATTGTGAAACATTTATTATAATTTTGGATGTATTGTGAAATATTTATTATAATTTTAGATGTATTGTGAAACATTCATTATAATTTTGGATGTATTGTGAAACATTTATTATAATTTTGGATGTATTTTGAAACATTTATTATAATTTTGGATGTATTGTGAAACATTTATTATAATTTTAGATGTATTGTGAAACATTTATTATAATTTTGGATGTATTGTGAAACATTTATTATAATTTTAGATGTATTGTGAAACATTTATTATAACTTTAGATGTATTGTGAAACATTCATTATAATTTTAGATATATTGTGAAACATTTATAATAATTTTTATTTGAAATTCTTGCTTTCTTTGAAATTTATTACTTCCGTTATATAAGACATATATATGTAAACATATACATGGTTTGGTTTGTTTGGAATAGTGGGATTGGCTGACACATGTAACGCCCCTATGGCTGAAAGGGCGAGCATGTTCGGTGACGGGGATGCAAACCCGCGACCCGCAGATTGCGAGTCGAGCGCTATTTCCATCAGGTCATGTCAGACATTATATACATATATCAGTGGTTAAACGGTCAAGCAAAAATGTGATATATATATAATTGTTTGTTTGCTTGTAGTTAAGCACAAAGCTGCACAATGGGCTATCTGTGCTCTGCTCACCAGAAAGAGAAGTGAAGTCACACATATATATATATACATATAACATATAAAGAAAATTGTTAATATATTACATCCGGAACTATCATATCGTTGACACTGTTTTTCTTCCAATGTATTTTTTTTTTTACGTTTCTGAGCGCATCCATTAATAAAATCATCAATCCAACCCTTGCAGAGAAATCAAATAGTCTCGGAATTAGTTTGGGTTATTATAAAATTTCAAGAAATTCTCAATAGATAATTCGTTAAAAGTTTTCATTTTTAAGATATCGTAGACTAGAAATTATTCTCAACGAAGACAAGTGCCGGTGGGTTTTTTATTCTTATATATATATAATGTATCGGGTCGTATTTTCTTACGTTTGTTTTTCTTTACGTTCAGATGACGGCGGGAAATCTTTGAACTGTAAAACTTTTAAACGCGGCTTAGGTAAAGATTACGTTGCTGTTGCACAAAGTCGTTTTGCTGTTCAAAATGAAACACTTTAGAAATAGCTTCCAAAAGATCAATTGAATACCATTGGCATTATTATGATGAAAACAACAACAACTCAGTTTTACAACTGATGCTTCGACAAAGTGCCCTTTTTTACACAAAAGAACATTCATTTTATTATGTACGTGTGTACAAAGAGTGTCTTTGAACTTTCCTTGTTAGATATGTTTGACGTGTTTTTTTAACCTAATTAAAAACTACACATTGATCCCCAGGGAAAGAGTTATCTAGCCTCAGGTGCTGCTGGCTTTTTGCCGCAGTTCAAAGGTTATTTGCTAATTCAGAAATGTTATACGGTAAAAAAAAGGTAAAAACTAACAGTAGGAATTATACCATTTTATTACAGATATAATACCAAAATATAGTTGTTTCTGGCATATCCTCTCTTCAAAAGAAATAAAGTGCGAAAATTAACCAAAGGATGCACATATCGATAAAAAATGAATGTAGGTTAGTCTGATTTGAGACTACGAAGTCAAACTGTACATATGAATAAAAAAGGAGGTAGATGTAAGGATTTAAGGCTGTGACGTATTGATTGTTTTTATGCAATCACGTAAAGAGATTGTTCTTTAGCTTTGTCACTATTTCGTAACTGCTAAATCATGGTATTGATTAATATAAGGAAGTTCTCACTGTTGACTGTTCATATGCTTTATGGAAAGTACTATGCTTGCAGCAACATGAAAGACTCACTCTACCATTAGCTAAAATCTCTGCCCAAAGCAACATTTTTGTAAGATTACACTTTATAAGAACTATTTGCATATCTGCATTTAGTGTCGTGTGTCCACAAATGTAAGCCGTTGCGCTACGGTTGATACGCAAGACGCGTAGCGCTTATCTTTTTGATCTACGGCGACTTTCCAACTATTCGACAGTGCAATGCCGCCACTAGTAGACTTATGGTTGGAGAAATAATTCACAGCCATTTCTAAAGAACGAAGGACGTTCATATAACAAGTTTATTAAACGATATACAGTCAAAGAGGGTAACATTTCAAGAAAGCGAAATTCCAATGTTTTTGATGGAGGCGGAAGATTTGTAGATCAGAAAATTAAGAACAGCAATAGACTCTGAAAGCATATCCTAATCCAATACTGAAAAACGCCCTCACCTACTAAGTGAAGGCTTTGGTTACGAAAAGGAACCACCCGACCCAAAATAATCTTTTTGATAGAGTTTTTACATATATATCCTGATAATGTTAACAAGATAATAAACAAGGCTTGAACTTGATGAAAACTCATAAGCTTCTAGCCACACCTCGAAATCAACGGTTGTTGTAATAAGAAAAACAACAAAACAGGAATCATAACATAGTTGTTCTACCACATACCCGTCAAGTTCCCAATGCAGCTCCAATGGACTTTCGTGCCTTTGATCTGCTTAAACGTGGCCACGAAAACCGACGTCCACGTGGTCTGTTAAAAACTTTAAAGATATGTGGTCTGAGACTGATCTCATCGTCATTTCTAAAAGCTTGCTACAAATGAAATTGCAGCATCGGTGCATAGTCATAGCCATCAGATTAAGAACAGTACCAATGGAAGAAGTATAGTTCCAAGAGCAACTTCGAAGCTGTTATAAAACATGATTAACCCTCAGTTGATTTAAATACGTTGCTAGGGAAGATACTATTTGGCTGATTTGATGAGACATTATATATTGCTTTAGTGACTACATAAATATATTTATAACGATAGTGTTTAATAACTGAACGTCAGACGCTCA